TATTCATGTTTTAACTAAAAATCAAATATAACAGCAGGATTGTGTCTCTCCACACTGTTAACATAAGAGTAATAAAATGAATAAAGTAATAATAGTAACAGATTACTAAAACTGGGGTGGGGGGTCAAGAGTATATACTAGTAAGTGAGCGTGCATACCTTGTGAGGGAATGAGAACATGTATGTACTTACATAGGTGTGTACAAGTACACAGTGTATGGTTACGTAGCTGATGTGTATTTATATTGTGTGTATGTGTGAGGTGAGTGAAGGCCAGGTAGTCCGCTGACATGAGCTCATCTCTGGTTCTGTGAGGCCTCCTCTGTCTGAAGAGCCATCAGATCAGCAATGGTGGCCATGGAGGTCTGGAATAGAAGAAGAGCAGAAAAGGTCACGCACAAAACTGAAAGCACACAGACAATAATAATGAGAAATACTAATAAGAAATGACACTATTTAGTAATATGATTATATGCCTATTATTTTATTTTTATTTCTTCTTCCACTTATTTCATCATCACTCAAAAAACTGCCTTTTCACACTGCTGCAGTTAGAGAAGTACAGTGAGCCTGACGCTCAGCTCAGAGAGGCTCCGGAAGAACTTCGGTCCTCTCAACTCAAACCATCCGTAACATCTCACCAAGTATACGCCCACTCTGCAGTGCATATTGCACACTATATCACAACACAATCACGTTACCAATCAAACCACTTCATCAGTTCATCACTTGAAATTTAATTGTAAATATTTTACATCATAAACATGTGACAGATAAACTTGGACATTAACTGAAGAGCAACAATCTGAAGAGCCGACCAGGACGTAGAAATGGACATTCTGCTTGTAACTTATCAGTAAAATGACACTTCCTCTTCTTTGAAAGAAGATCTTGTCATTCATTCTCGTCTTTCTTCTTTCCTTTCCTCCTTTTTCTTTGCAACACTCATCTGCTCTTTTCCTTCTCTTTGCTTTGTTCTTCTTTCTATCAGTCTTCCTATTTTCCTCTGCTCTCATTCACTCTTTTTTTCCTTTCAGTCTTTGTATTTTTCTTCTCTCTCTTTAACTAGCTTTCTATGTCTATTTCCATCCTCCCTCCTCTTCTATAAGTCTTCTACTACTCTAAAACAGTGCTGTAATATAATCACAGTCCCTTCCAAAAATATTAGAACATATAACATACTGAAAATTTACTATACAAAGAAAACGAGATTTTTGTTTCAAATACCCTTTAGAAGTTTGTAAGTTTTAGATGAGAAACTGGGGTTATCCTAGTATTATAAATGTTAACATTATTTTTAATTATTTAGAGCTCATCATAGCACAGAAACAGCACTGGTGAAAGTTACCAATGATATTCTCATGGCCTCTGACAATGGACAGGTGTCTACGCTGGTCCTGGTAGACCTCAGTGCTGCATTTCATACAGTTCATCACAATATTTTATTACACACCTAAGCCTGAAAGTCTATGTTCACAATTCAGTTCAATTCAGTTTATTTATACAATTCAGTTTATTCATATAATGCCAAGTCACAAAAGACGTCGTCTCAGGACACTGAACAGAAACATTCATATATATAAAGTAAGTTTACGCTATTTATCTGAGGAGCTAGCAGATTGATTTGAGTTTTAATATATTAGCAAAACAACTCATAACTAGATCTGAAAATATAGACTAAAGGTCACCAATCAACTCTAAAACATCTTACTTTGGATGAACCCATGGCGCGTGCACCCTCATGCAATATTCAACATTATCAAGTCTGAACCAGCTTTACTGAGCCTTTAAGGCACTTCATCATCCGGTTATGATTTCTCCCACTCTCTCTCAGTCGAGCTGCAGTTACTCCCTGCTCTTCTTGCCTTTTGTTGATCTGTTTGTTATTAAAAGCTTGATTTAGGTCCTCATCTTTAGTAAAACACATCTCAGCCCTATTTTTTTTTTTACCTGAACACAGCTGACAACACTAGAAATAGTTCCAACTGCGAACAAAACGTTTATCACGGCAAGAATCAGCCCAGTTCAAACAAAATAAATCCATTCATACATACCATCACAGGAGAACTCCCCGGCGGTGTTGACAAACTTGCGCTGCACTTCTTCTTCTCTTTTAAAGGCGGTGTGCAGCTCCTCTTCTTCTGCCTGTAACGTTAGCGCTGAAGCGCCGGCACAACCAGCTGCTACAGTAACAGCGGTTGTTGCGCGCAACTGCACCCGGCTATTGTAATAACAGTCTACATGCAACTTTTTTTTTTCTCATTCATTAAACGCTCAAATCGGAGACATTTTCAGGGACAGCTTTAGCCAGGGACAGGTTGTTCAAAACAGGGACTGTCCCCAAAAATCGGGGACGTCTGGTCTATCAAGATAAAAGTAGGGCACAGAAGGAACAAACAAAAAATCGACATGTAGGAAACTGGAAAGACAGTGAACACAAAGAGGAAACACGGACCCCCCCCCCCCCCCCCCCGAGTCAAGGTAGGCAGTCAGGAGACCGTCCACGGCAGGACAGAAGATCCAGGGAGCGATCTGAAGACCATTCATCACCAGGCCAGGGGTCTGGCGGGCAGCCAGGATGCCATCCACCCTTGGGCTTGGACCAGGGTTCCGGCGGGCGGCCAGGAGACCGTTCCTTTATGACCAGTGGAGAGGCCTTGACTGCAGGTGGAGAGAACCTTGGGATAGCTGCAGCTTGCTGAGGGAGGACCTCTGGAAGGAGCGGCTGGCTCAGCTTCTTCTGTGGCTGACTCGGGCTTGGCTTCTTCAGCTGGGGTGAAGCGAGGACCCCAGGAAGAGCAAGGGCCTCTGGTGCCGGGACCACATTAGCAGCAAGAGTCTCTGGAGCGAGGACCTTTGGAGGAGCAAGGACCTCTGGGACCAGGACCACAGCAGCAGCAAGAGCCTCTGGAGCGAGGACCTCAGGAGGGATGAGGGCCTTGGAGCGAGGACCACAGGAGGGACGAGGGCCTCGGGAGCAAGGACCTCAGGAGCAGTGAGGGCCTCAGGAGCAAAGACCTCAGCAGCAGCGAGGGCCTCTGGTGCTGGCACGGGAACCAGTCTTGGTTCTGGCATGGGAACCAGTCTTGATGCTGGCATGGGAACCAGCAAGGCAGGAGCTGGCACGGGAACCAGCAAGGCAGGAGCAGGACCAAGTGAGGCAGGAGCTGGTGCATGACCCAGCCTTGGTGCTAATATTGGACCCAGCAAAGCAGGAGGTGGTGCGGGACCCAGCCTTGGTCCTGGGACGGGACCCAGCGAGGAGGAGGCTGGAGTGGAGACCAGCGACTCCAGTGCTGGTGCGTAGACCAGTGGGTCCAGTGCTTTTGCGGAGACCAGCGGGTCCAGTGCTGGTGCTGCAGGCGTGGAAAGCCAGGCAGGAGCAGCTGGCGTGGGACCCGGACCAGGTGCAGCTGATGGTGAGGGAGAGAGAGATCAGCTGGAGGTGAGCTGGGAGGACCAGGCTGAGCAGGAGCCAGCAGAAGCGAGCATAGCATGCATCTCTCCATCCACGCCTGCTGGAACTGCTGCCACATCTCTGGTGAGTTGCTATTATTGTCAGCCTCGGTGTACTTGGAGATGATGTCCTCTACAGTGATCATCCTCTCCCTAAGATTGCTGGGGCTGCAGCCCCCCAGCGACAGGTGCACAGGGGAGTACGGCTTCCTTTCCCCCAGCAACAGGTGCCCAGGAGCGTGCGGCGTCCTCCCCCCCAGCGACAGGTGCGACGTCCTCCCCCCAATGAAGGTAAACACATGGCTGCATCTGAGGAGAGACGTGCTGGAGTTCGGTGAAACTGGCTGGGTTCTGCCACCCGTTCCTCCTGCGGCGAGTCCAAGTGGATTGCCCCCCTCCCTTTGAAGACCGTTCCAGGAAAACAGGAGGTGGTTGGGGAGGAGGTGGGTTGCGAGGTGCTGTTGCTCTGTGTGGAGGAGAAAAAAGGCGAGGTGGTGAGGCAAAGGACCTCGGTTTAAAAGCCAGACGAGTACCTCAAAAAAAGAGTCCATTTATTTTCTCCTCTTTGTCACACTGGGCAGTCTTCTGTGCCTCGCAGGCCAGAAACTCAGAAAGAGTGATCTTCCTGCTGGGTTCGGTTTGGTCTCTGGATTCTATCATGATCAGCTTCCATGTGTAGAACCCAAAGTGCAGGAAGATGAGGAGACTCCAGTAAAATAAGTAAAAATGTTTAATACAAATAAACAAAACAAAAAGCTGTCGGGGCAGCAGACTTACTTCAAAGGAGAGACACGGAGGGATGCAGAAAACATGAAGACTTCGACAGGACAAGGACAATCCAGAGACACTGACAAGACACCAAGGGGCTGAATATATACAGACACTAACAAGGTGAAATGAAAGGCACCTGTGGTGATTAGGATCACACACAGGTGTGACAGTGCTGGAACACAGGAGGAGAAATGCTCAGGAGTGACAGGCAAACATGAGGAAAAATGTATGACAGGACCCCAGAAACCCTACATGGTCACCCTATGCATAGTATACTTCATCTTTTAACATAGTCTTAGACTGCCCACTGGTGCTCTTTCTATGCAATAGCAATTCCACAACACAACAGAAGGACATCAAAGCAGAATACTTTCTCCCACCTGACACTGGTAAAGGATTTTACGATCTAGTTGTAAAATAGCTTAGTCCTGCATCATTTTAGGACTAAATGTTTCTACTTGTTCTACTTGGAAGACAGAGGTTCTAGCAGCATTTTTATTGTGGGAGTTAAATGAAATATTCTGTTAAAAATATCCAGGTTCTTTACATTAGAATAATAGACAAATAATAATTATATCCAAATGAAGTCATTTGGATAGAATTATGATGGCCTCTATGATGAGTTATGTTATTTTTTAATTAACATCCATGTGATCCTTTTCCAGTGTCAGGGGAGAAAGGCTGCAAAGCTTCTTCTATACAGGAAATCTTATTGAAACCATAATGGACATGGCATGAACTGAACTGATTCTTTTTTTTTTTCTCTGTGTTTAGGTCTGTGTGGTGTGATAGAGCAGAAGGATGAGGGAGGGGAGCAGTCCGATTCAGCCTGTGGAGCTCAGACCCAACCTGGACACGCAGCTCTTTGCGAGTATGTAAGCCAGGGTTATGCAGCTAAACTGCTCAGGGGGCCACAGTTTCTGAAAGCCAGCAGCTCAGGGGCAGGACATCCAGTGATTAAAGTCATTATGAAAATAAACCAAGTATTACAATGATCTGTTAACTTTTAAATTTGTTTATTTTGTTGCATTGAATCATAAATACAATAAACAGAATACAGAACCCAAATCATACCTAACCCCCAACCCTTTTATTTATTTTTTTATGAACTCATTGGCGGGCCAGACTGAAGTCACCCGCGGGCCGAAAGTGGCCCGCAGGCCACCAGTTGAATAGCTCTGATGTAAAGTAACAGCAGCCCTCTCCAGTGCCAAGCCACCTCCTTCAAACTTCACATCACATGAAAGAAACGCTGAGACCTCTCTCAGCCAGAACCAAATCATCACCATTTTGCCAGCTGACAAAAGAGGATACATGTTCATTTAGACAGGTTATGGAAGATCTAGTCCTGTAAAACAGCACATGTATGTCAGAGCACTCATCTGGAATATGATGTGAACTGTTACTGATCAAATGTCCACAATACTGATTTTATCTACTTGTTATTTCCAGGAAGCATTACAGAGAGTACCTGGTCAGCCTTATCAACAGCCACACCATCGATCCCGCCCCACTCTACAGCTCCATTGAGCTACTTCTGGCCTGCAGGAGGTACAAGGTTGATGACACCCATAAGGATGAAGAGGACTCCACCTACTGCAGTAGATTGCTCAAGGTGGGTTTTATAAATAAGTGTGTTGTCTCCTGTAAGCACAGCACTGCTGGGTTTACATTTTACAGGTGGTAGGTAATGGCTTCCTTTCTGATGGACTGTGATGCAGTTTTAATTAGACTTTCTTGCTCATTTAGTTTATTGCAACATTTCAGGGTAGATATAATCTTCAGGCACTATAAAAATAAATTCAACAGATAAAATCCAAATCCAGCCACAAGCAATCCGTTTCAATTGTCAGATTTAGTAAACATGATTATAAAACCATGGCTTTGTGCAACAGTTGTTTAGCTAAGATAGACAAAAGATTGCATTGAATCCTAAACTACCAGGTCAGATTGTTAGATGGTAAATGGACTGTAAATTGTAAAGGGACTGTACTTATATAGTGCCTTTCTATGTTATCAAGATTCTCGAAGCGCTTTACACTATCATCTGTGCCCTCATTTACCCATTCATGCAGCACTCTATTAGATCTCTACAAAACTAATTGAACAAATCATTCTAAAGAGACTAATCAGTGCTTTTAGATCACATTCATACACTGATGGGACACACATCGGAGGCAATGAGGGGTTCAGTGTCTTGCCCAGGGACACTTCAGCATGTGACTGATGGTGGATTCGAACCCCCTGCTCTTGCATTGGAGGACGACTGCTCTAAACCACAGCCGCCTTGGTCTGAATGGGCGTGCTTGTTTTTTATTTTTTACATGGAAACAAAATTACTTTAGTCTTTCCAAAAGAAAATTGCTTATGTTATGATTGCACATGTATTTACAACAGAGCCAAGAGCAATAAAAACAGAATATGCAATATATACAGACTAGTTCAAATTAAAACAGGAAAAATACATAAATAAATGTACATGAAAAAATACATATTTTAACATAAAAAAAGACTATAATAGATCTATGCCATCTTGAAACAACTCCAGTCTTAAATATGTAATTGTGGTTCATGTTCTTCTTGTGGGCCCACCACCTGCAGGAAGGGCCATAAAAGTCAGGTGCATGATGCCATGGGCAGCGGTTGAAGGCGGGGACCTTGGCGCTCTGACCCTGGCTTACCAAAGCTGGCTCTTGGGACATGGAATGTAACCTCTCTGGCGGGGAAGGAGCCTGAGCTTGTGTGTGAGGTTGAGAGGTACCGACTAGATATAGTTGGGCTCACCTTGACGCACAGCATGGGCTCTGGAACTGATCTCCTTGAGAGGGGTTGGACCTTATTCCACTCTGGAGTTGCCCATGGTGAGAGGTGTTGAGCTGGTGTGGGTCTACTTGTAGCCCCCAACTTGGTGCCTGTGTGTTGGAGTTTTTCCCAGTAAATGAGAGGGTGGCTTCCCTTCACCTTTGGGTGGGGGACGGGCTCTGACTATTGTTTGTGCCTACGCGCCAAACTGCAGTTCAGAGTACCTGGCCTTCTTGGAGTCCTTGGCAGGGGTGCTGGAAGGTGCGCCAACTGGGAACACCTTTATTCTGCTGGGGGATTTCAGTGCCCACGTGGGTAATGACAGTGTGACCTGCAGGGGCGTGATTAGGAGGAATGGCCTCTCTGATCTGAACCTGAGCGGTGCTCTGTTGTTGGACTTCTGTGCTAGTCATAGTTTGTCCATCACAAACACCATGTTCGAACATAAGGGTGTCCATAAGTGCACTTGGCACCAGGATGCCCTAGGTCGTAGATCAATGATTAACTTCCTAGTTGTGTTGTCTGATTTGCAGCCATTTGTTTTGGACACTTGGGTGAAGAGAGGAGCTGAGCTGTCAACTGATCACCACCTGGTAGTAAGTTGGATCAGATGGTGGAGGAAGATGCCAGACAGACCCAGTAGACGCAAACATGTAGTGAGGGTTTGCTAGGAATGCCTGGCAGAAGAACCCATCAGAAAGATCTTCAACTCACACCTCCGGGAGAGCTTTAACCACGTCCCAGCTGAGGTGGGGGACATTGAGTCAGAGTGGGCCGTGTTCTGTGCCTCACTTGTTGAGGTAGCTGTCTTGAGCTGTGGTCGCAAGATTGTCAGTTCTTCTCGCGGTAGCCATCCACAAACTCGTTGGTGGACACTCCAGGCTAGGGAGGCTGTCAAGCTGAAGAAGGAGTCCTATCAGGCTTTGTTGGCCAGTGGGACTCCGGAAGCAGCTGAGGCGTACCGGAGGGCCAAGCGGTGTGCAGCCTTGGCTGTTGCTGAGGCAAAAGCTCGGATGTGAGAGGAGTTCAGTGAGACCTTGGATAGAGACTCTCGGTTGGCTTTGAGGAGATTCTGGCAAACCATCAGGCAGCTGAGGAGGGGAAAGTAGCACCTTACGAACATTGCGTTTAATTAAAGTGGGGTGCTGTTGACCTCAACCAGTGATGTCATTGGGAGGTGGAAGGAATACTTCTTGGACCTTCTCAATCCCAACAGCACGTCTTCTATGGAGGAAGCTGAGTCAGGGGACTTTGGGGTTGATCCGTCCATAACTGTGGCTGAGGTCGCTGAGGTAGTTAAAAAGCTCAGAGGCGGCAGGGCTCCGGGAGTGTATGAGATTAACCCTGATTTCCTTAAGGCTCTGGATGTTGTGGGGCTATCTTGGTTGACACGCCTTTCAACCTCACATGGACATTGGGGGCAGTGCCGCTGGATTGGCAGACTGGGGTGGTGGTTCACCTCTTCAAAAAGAGGGATCAGAAGGTGTGCTCCAATTACAGGGGCATCACTCTCCTTAGCCTCCCTAGTAAGGTCTATTCAGCGGTACTGGAGAAGTGATTCCAATCGTTGGTCGAACCTTAGATCCAGGAGGAACAATGTGGGTTGCGTCCTAGCTGTGGAATACTGGACCAGCTCTTTACCCTCACTAGGGTCCTCAAAGGGTCATGGGAGTTTGCCCATCCAGTCTACATCTATTTTGTGGACTTGTAGAAGGCATTTGACTGTGTTCCTTGAGGTAGACTGTGGTGGGTGCTCCGTGAGTATGGGATTGGAGGTCCGTTGTTACGGGCTGTTCAGTCCTTATACAAGCGGTGCGAGAGTTTGGTTCACATTGCCGGTAGTAAGTCGGACCCCTTCAGGGTGGGAGTTGGACTCCGCCAGGGCTGACCGTTGTCATAGATTCTGTTCATAACTTTTCTGGACAGAATTTCTCGGTGCAGCCAGCTGGTGGAGGGTTTCTGGTTTGATGGCCTCAGGATTCCATCTTTGCTTTTTGTAGATGATGTGGTCCTGTTGGCGTCATTGTGCCATGATCTTCAGCTTTCACTGGAGCGGTTCGCAGCCAAGTGTGAAGCCGCTGGGGTCAGAATCAGCACCTCCAAATCTGAGGACATGGTCCTCAACTGGAAAAGGGTGGATTGCTTTCTTCGGGTCAAGGGTGAGGTTCTGCCTCAAGTGGAGGAGTTCAAGTATCTTGGGGTTTTGTTCACGAGTGAAGGAAGAATGGAGCGTGAGATTGATAAATGGACTGGTGCATCATCTGCAATATTGCAGACTGTACCGGTCTGTTGTGGTAAAGAGAGAGCTGAGCTGTAAGGCAAAGCTCACTGTTTACCGGTCGGTCTATGTTCCTACCCTCACCTATGGTCATGAGCTCTGAGTAGTGACCGAAAGAATGAGATTGCGGATACCGGCGGTTGAAATGAGTTTCCTCCGCAGGGTAGCTGGACTCTCCCTTAGATATAGGGTGAGAAGTTCAATTATCCGGGAGGAGACTCAGAGTAGAACCGCTTCTCCTCCACCTCGAGAGGAGGCAGTTGAGATGGTTCGGGCATCTGGTAAAGATGCCCCCTGGGTGCCTCCCTAGGGAGGTGCGTTGGGCATGTCTAACTTGGGGGAGACCCTGGGGAAGACCCAGGATACGCTGGAGAGACTATGTCTCTCAGCTGGCCTGGGAATGCCTTGGAATCCTCCCAGAAGAGCTGGAAGAGGTGGCTGTGGAAACAGATGTCTGGGCCTCCCTGCTCAAGCTGCTGTCCAAGCAATCCAATTTTGAAACTATCGGAAGATAATAGATGGATGGATGGATGGATGGTTCATGTTAACACTGTAGTGGAAAAAGTAGCAGCAGTTAGCTGTAGCACTTTATGCAGTGTACTAATATTTTTACTGGATGAACTTAGTAAAGCAGAATAATGGATGGCATTGAAAAAGTTGACAAAATTATTGGAGGATTGTTGGGGGAAGAATCAGTTTTGTTGTGTGTTTCCTTGACTGATGAAGCCTTCCGGATCAAAGGCGAAACGTTTCAGCACAAAAAAAATAAACTGTCCAGATGACCTGACTGAAAAATTTTGGATTGTATACCTGGATTATTGAGCATGGACTTTGTTGTTTTCAACCAGTTTGACAAGACTGTCAACAAGGAAGAGGGCCAGCAATGGAGGAAGGGGCGTACCAAAGAGACCATCTTATCACAAGCAGAACTGGATTGTTCCACTTTGGAGTGAGCTGTTGGGGGAAGAATCAGTTTTGTTGTGTGTTTCCTTGACTGATGAAGCCTTCTGGACCAAAGGCGAAATGTTTCAGCACAAAAAAAAAAAAAGAAACTGTCCAGATGACCTGACTGAAAAATTTTGGATTGACAAAATTATGTTCTATTTCGTATAGGCTTTGCCCTTTAAGGCTGTCGCTGATAGGTTTATCCTGATATGTGAAGCATTGCACTGAAAAATTTAGTCCACGCCCACCTGCTGTGTGGGCTCCACCCGGTCCGTATAAATTACGTTAAGAGCGGGTAATCGGCTCCCTTTTTTTTTTTCAGCGAGCTAATAGCACTGTCAGAAGAACGAAGAAGGAAAGTTGTGTAGGTGACCAACCTTTGTTAAGAATGCTTGGCCCGTCACGTCGAACTCCGGTCGTCCTGGTGAGCTCTCCTCCCCGAGGAGAAGCTGACGAGCAGTCTTGTTTCAAGGTAAGCGCCGAGGAGTATTTCTTAG